CATCGAAGCTGGAGGGCAAAAAAATATTCTTAGGACACTTAACATGGAGAGTCTGAGAGCAGGATACAGCGTGGGCTGTAACTAAGGGCAGTGGAAGCAGGCAGCCTTGGCTAGGATGCCGCTGCTCCTCATGACATTTTGTCTCATAAACTTAGCAAGTTCTTAGAAAGTCCAAAACGCCATATGTGTTGCCTAGTTTTCTTATCTGATCACAGGAAATAAATAGGAAAAATGCAGATAATTTGCATTTTATTTGATAATTTTTAAATAAAAGTTACTTGTTAATAAAATTTCAGGTAGGATGCTCCCTGAGTTTCTTCTGAACAACATCATTCATTGACCCTATATTTGAAGAAAAGTTATTCTGTGTTTTTTTGAGAGCAGGTACTGTTTATTAACTGACCAACTTAGAGAAATAATCATGGTAGACACCTTAGTTCATTCTTCTAATAAGCCTGTTGATCTGGTCCTCCCTGTTGCCAGCACCTCCACCTTCTACAAAATGGGTGGTCTTTTTCTTTATTCTGCCTCATGGAGAAGATAATTTGAAGGACCACAGGAAGTTATTTGCTTCTTTGAAGCATTTTCTAACAGTATAGATCTCATGAATCAGATCTTCCATGCAGATGATGCCATATTTACCAAGAGATGGTGCAATCAAGGCGTTATCTGTCAAAGCAATTCGCTTCTTACTGATTTTGCCGTAACCACGCTTGTAGATTAGTTTATTTACTGACTTCAGATTAGGGTACCCCCTGCAATATATGGTTCTACAATCCTCAGCATGTTAATCGAAGCCTTGTTAAGCTTCACAAAGGTTCCACTGAAAATTTGATGAAGGCGAAGAAGCTGCAACACTTTTTGGACCTTTGGACTCACACCACTGGTACCTCTGATCCTGACGACAAACGCCAATTTGGGTTTTGCAGGTACATAGAAGTTACCAGCTTTTCTTGCCATCCTTGCCATTCGAATTTCAGTTCTGTACATCTGCCTATATTCCTTGTGGTAGTGCTTCGCTTTTTCATAGATAAGCTTCCTCCTTGCCTTTCGAAGCATCTTTTGGGCAAACTTCTTTCTCAGGCATCTGATCTTCAGCTCTGCGAAATTCCTTTGCTTTTTCTTAAGGGTTTCTGGTACAGCAGGAACCTTCTTCTTCTTCTCTCTGACACTCTCCATGGTTCCAGTGGGAAACGAGGAACTATTCTTTTATTATTAAAAAGATGAAATCTGCAATCTCCAGCAAACACTACTTTCCCTACTGGATCTTTAAATTATTAGTCCCACATTCCTCCAAGAAAAATTCACTAAGCCTTTACATCCTGGGTGCTGAATAAACCCTGCATCTGCTTTCAAGAAGAAACCTACCTTTCTTAACCTGGAGGTAGATGGCTGCTCATAAGTGACAGGTGGAGTACTGTAAATCCCCGAGGGTGATTCTAGCCCTTGACCCAGTAGGGTATTTACTGTCAGTGACGCCCAGATTTAGAAAGAGGATGTAAACATGGTGTGGACACCAGACAGGGCAAAGAGCAACTGCTTGTGGGAAACACACATGCATCCATCATCACTGCAGATGAGGAGGAAAAGGAGGACAAGGTGTGAATTTGAAAAGCAGGATAACTTAGTGAGGGTCTGAGTGCTCAAGATCAAATCTCACTCCACCCTCACTACCTTATGTGATCCCGAGAAGTTACTCAAAATATCTGTACCAACATTTCCTCAGTCTGAAGGTAGGAAGTATCACCTTTTGCATAGGGTTGTTGGAAAGATTAAAAATAGTATATGTCATCTGTGTCAAAACCTTGATACTAGTGTATTTCTGTTCACTGTTTGCACCATGTTAGTTTCCTTGATATATGTTGATTAAAAAAACAAAAACAAAATTTCACTTGGCCCGGTGGCTCACGCCTGTAATCCCAGCCCTTTGGGAGGCAGAGGCAGGCAGATCACCTGAGGCCAGGCGTTTCAGACTAGCCTGGCTAACGTGGCGAAACCCCATCTCTACTAAAACTACAAAAATTATGTGGGCCTGGTGGCACATGCCTGTAATCCCAGCTACTCCGGAAGCTGAGGCAGGAGAATCACTTGGACCCGGGAGGCAGAGGTTGCAGTGAGCTGAGATTGCGCCACTGCACTCCAGCCTGACCTACAGAGCAAGACTCTGTCTCAAAAAAAGAAAAAAAAAAATTGATTAAAATGTCAAATTGGCTTTTATTAGTGACTCATAAAACAGGCAGTTGCTACTCAAAATAGAGGGAGCTTCAATGAGCCTGGCAGACCAGTTGGTTTTCCTAAGGTAACTTGAACAGAAATAGGGAAACCGAAATACAAAAAGTGAATTGGTTAACATCAGGTTACTTCAGGTTACTTTCCTTATAAAGGGTTAAAGCAGAGAGGACTTCCTTATCATGCTGATTCAGGCTGACTGGGCCTTTTCTGATTGCTTGCTGTAAATCTCTTGCTTTTGGGAAAAGCCAGTCTATTTGGGAATTTTCTTGTTTACGTTTCAGCTTGATTACATGGCACTTAGCAAAAGTGACCCCATTTTGGTTCAATCTGTTGTGACCTAATGCAGGAGCTCAGTCCAAAACCACGGCCTCTCATACATTTTATTTAGCAACACAAAGAAAAGAGTTTTTGTTCTGAAGCCGATTTTCTTGAGTCTATTGATAAACCGATCACAACAGAACTAAAAAATATATTCAATAAACAAGTACAAGATTAAAGAATTGTCTAAAAAATGTAATGTAACAAGCAAAAGATTATAAATCCAAATCATTCGATTTAGGATTAGGGTGAGGTATTCATTATGGCTCTACAGTTTGTTTTTAAGTGTCACCTAATAAGTAGATGTCACACTCTAATCTCTTCCTTAAGTGAATATTATAAATTTTAATTTTATTAAATTCACACTTAAATTATGCTTTTAAAATTATCTTTGCGTCGGGCATAGTGGCTCATGACTATAATTTCAACACTTTGGGAGGCTGTGGCAAGAGGATTACTTGAGCCCAGGAGCTTGAGACCAGCATGGGCAACAAAGTGAGACTGACTCTACCAAAAACATTTTATTTAATTAGCCAGTCATGGTAGCACAGGCCTCTAGTCCCAGCTACTCAGGAAGTGAGGTGGGAGGATCGCTGGGGCCTGAGAGGTCAAAGCTGCAGTGAGCCACGGTCATGCCACTGCACTCTAACCTGGATAAGACAGCGAGACCCTGTCTCAAAATAAAAATGAAAATAAAATAAAATTATCTTTGAACTAAAATAAATTATGCTTTAGGCAAGTGAAATTGTCAAAACTCTGAAAATAGAACCTACATATAGTTGATGTATTTGTTTAGCCCAGTTAATCATGTAAACAACAGGTAAGTATATCCAAGTTTCAGAAACACTTTGGGGGTTTATTAATTTTTGGTTACCTTCAAGATTTTCTTAACCTCTTATGTTAACATTTGTGTCAGGGCCAGGCTCATGCCTTTAATTCTAGCACTTTGGGAGGACAAGGCAGGAGGATCGCTTGAGCCCAGGAATTCGAGACCAGCTTGGGAACATAGTGAGACTCCTTATTACTACAAAAAAATTTAAAATTATCTGGGCATGGTGGTACATTCCTGTAGTCCAGCTGCTATAGGGGCTGAGATGGGAGGATCACTTGAGGTAGGAGGCTGTGGCTGCAGTGACTGTGATTGCACTACTGCACTCCAACCTGGGTGGCAAAGTGAGACCCTGTCCTAAAAAAAAAAAGGAGTAGAAAATTAGCGTGTCTAAGGCCAGAGCTCTTAGGCAAACTGGTGAAGCTCCTTCTCAGAATAATGTTTTTAACGCCTAAGATAAAAAATGAGATTGTAAGTGAGAAACTAAAAATCAGCTTGGACTTTAATCTGCCCTGGTATTCATTAGCGCGGACTGATAAAACCAGCCTCAAAATTACCAGAAAACATTATTTCTCTCAAACCACAGCAAATCATAAAGTGTCATAACAACCTCCTTTCTTTTCTCCTTAAAATTTTTTATTTTTTATTTTTGCCGATTCCTTCATGCAAGTTGCCGTGTGTGTCTCTGTTGTCTCCGTGGAAGGCCAGAGCCACATGGTCCTAAGCATAGGCACCAGGAAGCGTAGGCTGATCTGAAGAAGACACTTCAATCATGGGTGATGTTAAAAATTTTCTCTATGCCTGGTGTGGCAAAAGGAAGAGGACCCCATCCTATGAAATTAGAGCATTGGGGAACAAAAATAGGCAGAAATTCACGTGTGAGGTTCAGGTGGAAGGGTATAACTACACTGGCATAGGAAATTCCACCAATAAAAAAAAGATGCACAGAGCAATGCTGGCAGAGACTTTGTTAACTATTTAGTTTGAATAAATGAAATAAAGAGTGAAGAAGTTCCAGCTTTTTGGGGTAGCATCTCTGCCCCCACTTACTGATACTCCTAACACTACAGCAAATGCTGAAGGAGGTTTACCAACAACCATGGGAGGGCCTCTTCCACCAGATCTGGCTCTCAAAGCTGAAAATAATTCTGAGCTAGGGGCCTCTGGCTATGGCGTTCCTGGGACTGAGAAGCCAACTTGAAGGTGAAGCACCGTCTCTAATAAATAAATAAATTACAAGTGGCACACACTTGTAATCCCAGCTACTAGGGAGGCTGAGGCACGAGAACCTGGGAAGTGGAGGTTGCAGTGAGCCGAGATGGCATCACTGCACTCTAGCCTCGGCGACAGAAGGAGACTCTGTCTCCAAAAAATAAATAAATAAATCCAATACCAGGAAGTGCTTTCTTACCATGAGAGCTCCCTGCACACAGAGTGAGGAGACAGAGACAGCAGAAGCAGGACCAGAGGTCTCCACCACTGAACCAGGTCAACCCGAATTTGTTTTTGTAGCTCTGGGAAGTCTTGAACTGAATGGGAGGTTCTACTGTGGCCCTCTAGTGTATGGTTCCAGGATTTGTAAACACTCTAATTCATGTTTTTTGTTTTGTTTTGGTTTTTGTTTTTGTTTTTAAGCTGTTCCTGCTAATTGCTTTTTAAGCCAGGCTCAAGTGTGGGTCCACAGGGAATACTTCAGGTGCCCTTCAAATCAGATACTACATTTCAGCTCTCAGGGCTAGAATGCTTCCCGCTCTTACTTGGGCAGGTCTTTGAATAAGCCAGTTTAGCCTTGGTAGTTTTGAATTTGGCCATAGTATACGGAGGAGAGCTAGGTAGCTTTCAAAACGCTCAGACAGATGTGTGGGAAAATGCAGCCCGGTCTGAACCTCCGCAGAAGCCCCGCACCTGGTGCAGCAAGTGGGCAAAGGAGTGTGTGTTCAGGGCAGGGTACTCAGTCCCATCTGTAATCAAGAGATCTGGAGGGCCCGAGGAAGTCAGTGACACCCCCACAAGCCACACACCCTCCAATGGATTGTGGTGGTCATCTCTGGCTACCGAAGCCACCTTGCTTATTCCCATAACCTTACAATCATTATGCTGCTTCACGCGAGTTGTGGGTGAAGTGAAAGAGTTGGAAAGTCCCGGTCTAAGGCTCTGCAAAACTGCTCTCTGGTAAAAACAAGGGACTATGGCAAGGCCTTGAATGTACTACGTACAGACTTAAGTCAGTATTTGTGCCTAACAGCAAAGCAAGCCATGAGAGGCTCCTCAAAAGTCAGGTAATTGATGCCATTGTTTTCTCGACTTGGTTGAAGAGTCAGAGAAGAGAAGGTGATGCAGAAGCTTCTTTCCAGTTAAGTGACAGATGCAAGCAAGGAACACCTGCCAGAGCGGTAGGGGAGGGGGTGGATTCGGCAGCACTCGGGGAGTGGCAGGGACCACATATTGTCGGTGTTTAACCACTGTTATCACTGGCCCAGGTCGAGTGAGGACAAGTCATTTCCCCACTAAGCTCTTGGGGAGTGGCAGGGACCACATATTGTCAGTGTTAACCACTGTTATCACTGGCCCAGGTCGGGTGAGGACAAGCCATTTCCCCACTGTTGTCTCTTCTTCCTTACTGCACCCCCAGCTCCGCACCCTCAGCCCCAAATACACATTCTCATTCACTCAACGTTTGTTGACAACTAGCGTGGGCCCTGTGTGATGGGGTAAAAGTCTGGTGTTGAGAGGAGCTCCAGTGACAGATTTTCGGTTTTGGTTTGGTTTTGGTGGTGGCTGCTGAGCAGGGACAGGTCAGTTCATAAAAGAGGCCCCAGGTCTGGATCAAATTCTCCTGGGAGCCAGACCAAAGAGCCTTCCTGGACTGAAAAGTGCGGCAGCCGCCGCGGGCAGGGTGCGGGGAGGCGTCACGCGCCAGAATCTGCGCTTGCTGCCAAGCTCTGGGCCTGCCTCGCCGCGGTGGGGCGTCCCGCGTCCTGGGCTGGCGGCTCCGCGCATGCTCCTCTCTCAGGCGTCGCAGGCCTCCAGAGGATCCGGAAGCACTAGGTGCAGCCTGATGGCGCCGGAGTTAGACACCGCACAGGGCGCCAAGATGCGGCGGGGCGCGGGCGCGGCTCGGGGACGCGCTTCCTGGTGCCGGGCCGTGGCGCTACTCTGGCTCGCGGCGGTTCCGGGCTGGCCCCGGGCCTCGGGCGTTCTCTCCCGGCGCCACTGGCCGGTGCCCTACAAGTGAGTGCGGCGGCACGCGCACTGTCGGGGTCGGGGTCGCAGTCGGCGTTGCAGATGGGGGACGGGGTGCTCGCGCGGGGACTCCAGCGCCCGGTGGTTTGTGTCGGATCACGAGACGGTGCGGGGGCAGCGCCGGGTGATGCTCGGAGCGCACTTGAGAGCAAAGTTGAGGACTGGGGAGTCGCAGTCGCTTGTTACGCACAGCCCTGGGACCTTTCCTCCCTCTGGCCACTTGCGGCAGACTCAGGACAGTCCCGAATCGTGGCAGAAGAAAAGGAGAGTAATGTTATTTAATGGAGGGATTTCTGGATACAAGTAGCTGATTTCTTGAGTAGTTTAAAAACACTGTGTGTCGCATTTATTTATATCATGCACTGTCATTAGTTATTACTGCAGAACATTTGGTACAATTTACTGGGCGACCAACTCTGGTTTGAACCTGATCAGAACGCGATCCGAAGTCCTTATTGGAACTTCCTAGTTTTGCACTCAAAAGTCCCGCATCCCGGAATCCCCGTCTCCTGCAGTCCTGGTTAGATCGGGAAGATAGTCATCGCGTTTGTCCAGTCTTCAGCCTGGAGGTAGGACGCCGGTCCTAAGTCGAGGACAGGGCCCGCACTCCTGGGAGGCCGATTCCAGCCTTTGACAGAGAAGACACACAGCCTCCGGCGGTCAGAGATAGCTAAACACAGAGAAAGAAAACATGGTGTCAACATCAGGCAGGAGAACGACCAGCAGTTTCTGAAAACAGCTGTTTTTCTTTAAACCAAAAGCATCATCATTTTAATTCAATTTATAATGGACATAATTTTAACATACCAGCATAAGTAATCAACAGCTAAAACTGCACACAACAAACCTGAAAAATAAAAACAGCTATTTTGCATGACAGTATGAGTGGGAAGGCAGGATTTCCTCTTTGTGAGGAGCGAGTTTTAGGTTCTGCCTGCTGCGGGTCAAATCTGGCTCCATCATCACCAGGGATCTTGGGAAAGTTACTTAGAATCTCTGTGCCCACATGCCCTGAGTCACACAATAGGAATACTGGTAGCACTTATCGGTTTGCTGGAAGGATTAAATCTAGCAGAATGCCAGCTGTTATCACATCTAGATAGTGTATTCTGCTCACTGAAAGGTTTGCAGCACTTTATTGTTTCGTGTGATATACTACGTGGAAAGAGAAGTTTGTGGTTGAAGCTAGTTTTCTGGAAAATGTTAATAATAAACTATTTGTAAGAAGTCAAAATTACTCAATAGAACAAGAATTGTAAATCCAAACGATTGGATTGAACATTAGGGCAAGGTGTTGACCATAGCTTTGTAGTGGATTTTTTTTTAAGTCTCAGATATTAAGTACATGCCCCCATCTAATCACCTCAATTGAATATAATATTTAAGTTTATTAAGTTCACATTTAAATTACCTTTGAACTAAAATAGACTTGGCTGTGGGTCAGTGCAATCTCTGTGTGATTATGTATTTGTTTAAACCAGGTAAGTGCCTATAAAATACTGTACCCAAGTGGCAGAAGCTTTTGGGAGCGTTGTTAATGTTTTTGGTCAGCATAAAGATTTTAACTTCTTAAGTTAACATAGAAATTTTTGTTGATTTGTTGGGATTGTGAAACAGTAGATCTGGCTTGGGGATCTAGGATTCTTAGATAGCAGCTCTTGTCGCCACCACTTCCTTCTTTCCCAGTGCCAGATTATGGGTGACCAGTGTGTCTGCTGAGCTGAATTCAACGTCAGTGCTCCTCGAGTCCTATTGCTATGGCCTTCTCCGGTCTTCTTTTCTTGCCTGCATTGTTGAGGTCACCTTCTAACTGATATCTCATGTTTAATTTGGCCTCTCTCCCTACCCTCTTTTAATTCATGAAATAAGGTTTACTTTATAGCAAATTCAGTCCTATCAGATCTGCTACTTAACATCCTTTAAGCTTAGCTCCTCCCCCGCCCCCCCGCCACCAGTTGTAAGGCACGGAATTCCATGCACATTCTCCTGGTGACAGAATGACAGCCGCTGCCAGTCTCTTCTGTCTCCACCCGTGCATTGAAGCCTGAATCCTAGTCTTCTGTACCTACCGGAGACCAAATGTGCCAGGCTTGTCTTATAATACTTAACATTTCCTCTGCCTTTCTGTCTTAACCTTCTAGCCAAGTAGTTAAAAACCCAGGCCCAGCCTTCATCTCTTTCTTTGCCCTCCCCACCCCATTCATCCCATACCTGGTTAACAATGATTTGTCCTTCCTTTGTGCCGGTAGAACTCATTTCTTTAGTCTAGCACATCCCACACTCATCACTTGTTTAATGTCTTTGCAGCTCCCACCCACAGTTCCGTGAGAAAAGCAACAGTGTTTTAATTTCTGTTTCCCTCCTTCCTATAGTTCCCTATATACCTAGTAGAACCTCAATACATATTGGTTGAATGAATGTTAATTCGTAAGTAAATATAAAATATATACTATTACTCATAATCATCTGAATAATCTTAATGTATGGATTGTTTGTAAAATTGAACACATTGGAAAAATGTTCATTTATTCTGTAAACATTTGCAAATGTCTACTATGACCTGGAGCTATAAAAATTTTAAGACAGGATTCCTGTCTTCAAAATTTTCACAGTGGGATCAGGGAACAGGGAAGCCTGGATTTATCAGAGTGCTTTGAGTTTATCATTTGCTATTAAAAACATTATTGGAAGTTTGTTCACAAGATAACAAAATGTATGTTTATATTTATTAACTATGGTCTGACCTTTGAATGGTCCCCTAAAAATGTTACTGGATTCTAAAAGATGGGAGAAGAATCAAATTCCTGTTGGAATCTAAGTAGATGGTTTCTTTTTCTTTATTAGACGCTTTGACTCCCGTCCAAAACCTGATCCTTATTGTCAAGCTAAATATACTTTCTGTCCAACTGGCTCACCTATCCCAGTTATGGAGGGTAATGATGACATTGAAGTCTTTCGATTACAAGCCCCAGTATGGGAATTTAAATATGGAGACCTCCTGGGACACTTGGTAAGGATGCATCTTGGTCTTACAACTTCGGTTAATTCAATGATTTGGTTATTAAGTTGATCTTTAGGGAGTAATCACTACTTAGATGGCTGACTTTAGATCATGTTGGTGTTTTTTAGTACATTTAAAATGAGTAGTCAAAAATAGTTACCATTAGATTTTATAATCTTGACAACAACAAATGTAATCACCATTATCCGTTGTAATATAATGAATCTGAATCCAGCTCCTGTATCCAGCTTCTGGAAGATGCGAAGAGGCCCAGAAGGGGCAGGGTAGGCAGAAAACACCTCTTGATTTCCAGACCCTGTTGTAGTCACTTTTCCAAGTTAACCCATCACTATGCGAGGTCTGTAGAGCTCCTTCCGGAGACCGGCATAGGGGCTCCGCACACTTATTCTAAGCTCTGAGGAAATTACGAGCTTGTCCACATACTATGCATGCCTCCTATTTGAAATGAGCTGTAGGGACCAAAGCCAGGGTGGAGGAGGGCCTGGAGATTGGGGCCACAGAGTGGATATGACAATAGCAGCATGGAAGAACAGCTGAACAGTTGTGCTACTTGATATGCATTTGTGATGTGCCACATTTTCTCCTATCAGGTTACCTGGACCCATGGTTATGTCTCAGTTGCTCTTATACGTGTATTGTGTTTACACAGAAAATTATGCATGATGCCATTGGATTCAGGAGTACATTAACTGGCAAGAACTACACAATGGAATGGTATGAACTCTTCCAACTTGGCAACTGTACATTTCCCCATCTCCGACCTGAAATGGATGCCCCTTTCTGGTGTAATCAAGGCGCTGCCTGCTTTTTTGAGGGAATTGATGATGTTCACTGGAAGGAAAATGGGACATTAGTTAAAGTAGCGACTATATCAGGTAAGTTTTGAAAATATAGCAATATTTGATAATTACATCAAAATCCAAATGAAAGAAATTGTAATACTTCTATGGAAACATTTCAGTAATGTTTTACTTAGAGGTCACTTGTAAAATGTACTTCTGGAACCACTAAACTTTGGGAATTTTTTTCATCTCTTGTATTTTTTATTTATTTTATTTCAATAGGTTTGTGGGGAACAGGTTATGTTTGGTTACATGAATGAGTTCTTTAATGGTGATTTCTGAGATTTTGGCACACCCATCACCTGAGTAGTGTACACTGTACCCAATGTGTAGTCTTTTATCCCTCACCCCTCTCCACCCTTTCCCCCAAATTCCCAAAGTTCATCATTCTTATGCCTTTGCATCCTCATAGCTTAGTTCCCATTTACGAGTAAGAACATACAATGTTTGGTTTTCCATTCCTGAGGAGTTACTTCACTTGGATGGAATTGGAGACCATTATTCCAAGTTGCTGCAAATGCCATTATTTAATTCCTTTTTATGGCTGAGTCGTATTCCTTGGTATATATACACCACATTTTCTTTATCCACTCATTGATTGATGGGTGTTTGGGCTGGTCCCATATTTTTGCAATTGCAAATTGTGCTGTGCTTCTATAAACATGCATGGGCAAGTATCTTTTTCGTATAATGAGTTCTTTTCCTCATTGGGTAGGTACCCAGTAGTGGGATTGCTGGATCAAATGGCAGTTCTACTTTTAGTTCTTTAAGGAATTTCCACACTGTTTTCCATAGTGGTTGTACTAATTTACATTTCCACTAGCAGTGTAGAAGTGTTCCCTTTCCACTACATTCCGCCAATATCTATTATTTTTTTATGTTTTGATTACAGCTATTCTTGCAGGAGTGAGGTGGTATCACATTGTGGTTTTGATTTGCATTTCCTTGATCATTGCATTGCATTTTCCTGAGCATTTTTTCATGTTTGTCGGCCATTTATGTATCTTATTTTGAGAATTGTCTATTTGTGTCCTTAGCAACCCTCCACCCTTTTTTTTTTTTTTTTTGAGGTGGAGTTTTGTTCTTGTCGCTCAGGCTGGAATGCAATGGCATGATCTCGGCTCACTGCAAGCTCCACCTCCTGGGTTCAAGCGATTCTCCTGCCTCAGCCTCCCAAGTAGCTGGGATTACAGGTGCCCGCCACCATGCCAAGCTAATTTTTGTATTTTTAGTAGAGATTGGTTTTTGCCATGTTGGCCAGGCTGGTCTCAAACTCCTGACCTCAGGTCATCCGCCCACCTTGGCCTCCCAAAGAGCTGGGATTAAAGGCGTGAAGCACCACTCCCCAGCCATTAACCCACTTTTTGATGGGATTGTTTTTTTCTTGCTGATTTGAGTTCCTTGTAGATTCTGGATATTAGTCCTTTGTCAGATGTGTAGATTGCAAAGATTTTCTTCCACTCTGTGGGTTGTCTGTTTTTTTCTCCCACTCTGTGGGTTGTCTGTTTACTCTGCTGATTGTTCCTTTTGCTGTGCAGAAGCTTTTTAGTTGAATTAAGTCTCATCTATTTATCTGTGTTTTTGTTGCATTTGCTTTTGGTGGAACCGCTAAACTCTGACCCAAACTATTACTCATGCAGAACTTCACCTATAGGTGATGAGTAGTGTATCTCTGATCTTTGAATTTTTCCCTAAAAATGCTCTTTTCCTATCATAAAAATGAATAAAATGATAAAACATTTTGTACAATTAAATTGGACTTTCTAAACGAAATAGTAAGAGAAATCCATAAAATGCCTGATTAAAGGATATGTTAACTATATCTGAAAAAATTTTAGTGATATTTTTATGATGAAAAATAATAGCTACTACTCATATAGACTGGTTCTGGCACTGTTCTGAGTACTGTACATATATCACATCATTCATCATCACAACTTCTGCAGGTAGTTACTATTATTTTGCCCATTTTACAGATGGAGAAACTGAGGCATAGAGTGGTTACACAGCTTAGTAAGTGGGACTCTAGCCCTGGCAGTTACGCCCCATTGCCCATTCTCCTGCTTTGATATATGCCTCCCAAAATGTATATGATCTTATATTTGAGGCCCTCTTGAGCAGTTTAAATATCTTCGAGATTTTTTTCTTCTTTTGGATGTATTGGAAAGTTGCCGAAAGTTAGAATTTTGTTGCACATGCTGCATTGTTGGTTAGTAATGAAAAGAGTTCAGCAACTCTTCCATTGGTAACTCCTTATGTGACTTGGGTCACATTTTTTTGTTTGTTTTGTTTTATTATACTTTAAGTTCTAGCGTACGTGTGTACAACATGCAGGTTTGTTACATATGTATACTTGTGCCATGTTGGTGCGCTGCACCCATCAACTCGTCAGCACCCATCAACTGATCATTTATATCAGGTATAACTCCCCCTCCCCGCCCGATAATAGGCCCCGGTGTGTGATGTTCCCCTTCCAGAGTCCAAGTGATCTTATTGTTCAATTCCCACCCATGAGGGAGAACATGCGGTGTTTGGTTTTCTGTTCTTGCGATAGTTTGCTGAGAATGATGGTTTCCGGCTGCATCCATGTCCCTACAAAGAATACAAACTCATCCTTTTATATGGCACATAGTATTCCATGGTATATATGTGCCACATTTTCTTAATCCAGTCTGTCACTGACGGACATTTGGGTTGATTCCAAGTCTTTGCTATTGTGAATAGTGCTGCAATAAACATACATGTGCATGTATCTTTATAGCAGCATGATTTATAATCCTTTGGGTATATACCCAGTAATGCGATGGCTGGATCATATGGTATTTCTAGTTCTAGATCCTTGAGGAATCGCCATACTGTTTTCCACAATGGTTGGACCAGTTTACAATCCCACCAGCAGTGTAAAAGTGTTCCTATTTCTCCACATCCTCTCCAGCACTTGTTTCCTGACTTTTTAATGATTGCCATTCTAACTGGTGTGAGATGGTATCTCTTTGTGGTTTTGATTTGCATTTCTCTGATGGCCAGTGATGGCGAGCATTTTTTCATGTGTCTGTTGGCTGTATGCATGTCTTCTTTTGAGAAATGTCTGTTCATATCCTTTGCCCACTTTTGGATGGGGTTTTTTTGTTGTTGTTGTAAATTTGAGTTCTTTGTAGGTTCTGGATATTAGCCCTTTGTCAGATGAGTAGATTGCAAAAATTTTCTCCCATTCTGTAGGTTGCCTGTTCACTCTCATGGTAGTTTCTTTTGCTGTGCAGAAGCTCTTTAGTTTAATTAGATCCCATTTGTCAATTTTGGCTTTTGTTGCCATTGCTTTTGGTGTTTTAGACATGAAGTCCTTGCCCATGCCTATGTCCTGAATGGTATTACCTAGGTTTTCTTGTAGGGTTTTTATGGTTTTAGGTCTAACATTTAAGTCTCTAATCCATCTTGAATTAATTATTGTATAAGGTGTAATGAAGGGATCCAGTTTCAGCTTTCTACTTACGGCTAGCCAGTTTTCCCAGCACCATTTATTAAATAGGGAATCCTTTCCCCATTTCTTGTTTTTGTCAGGTTTGTCAAAGGTCAGATGGTTGTAGATGTGTGGTATTATTTCTGAGGACTCTGTTCTGTTCCACTGGTCTATATCTCTGTTTGGGTACCAGTACCATGCTGTTTTGGTTACTGTAGCCTTGTAGTATAGTTTGAAGTCAGGTAGTGTGATGCCTCCAGTCCTAAGCATTTTGGCTTAGGACTGTCTTGGCAATGCGGGCTCTTTTTTGGTTCCATAGGTGTGGAAATCCAAAACCATTGTTTACTCACATGCATCCATAGTCTTAATCAAGTTAGAACATTTTACTTAAAATTAATATGATTAGGCCAGGCATGGTAGCTCACACCTATAATCCCAGTGCTTTAGAAGACTGAAGCAGGGGGATCACTTGAGGCTGAGAGTTTGAGACCAGCCTGGGCAATACAGCAGGACCCTGTGTTGCCCAGGCTGTTCTCAAATTAAAAAAAAAAAGTAAAAAATGAGTTGGCTTTGATGGCCCGCACCTGTAGTCCCAGCTACTCAGGAGGCTGAGGTGGGAGGATCACTTAAGCCTGGGAGGTCAAGGCTGCAGTGAGCTGTGATTGTACCACCGAACTCTAGCTTTGGCAACAGAGGAGAGCTGACTCAAAAAAAAAAAAAAAATTAACATGATTAGCTTCGTTCACTAGGTGACTTTGTTTTGTTTTTTTGAACTAGGAAACATGTTCAATCAAATGGCAAAGTGGGTGAAACAGGACAATGAAACAGGAATTTATTACGAGACATGGAATGTAAAAGCCAGCCCAGAAAAAGGGGCAGAGACATGGTTTGATTCCTACGACTGTTCCCAGTTTGTGTTAAGGACCTTTAGCAAGTTGGCTGAATTTGGAGCAGAGTTCAAGAACATAGAAACGAACTATACAAGAATATTTCTTTACAGTGGAGAACCTACTTATCTGGGAAATGAAACATCTGTTTTTGGGCCAACAGGAAACAAGACTCTTGGTTTAGCCATAAAAAGATTTTATTACCCCTTCAAACCATATTTGTCAACTAAAGAATTTCTGTTGAATCTCTTGCAAATTTTTGATGCAGTGATTGTGCACAGAGAGTTCTATTTGTTTTATAATTTTGAATATTGGTTTTTACCTATGAAATTCCCTTTTATCAAAATAACATATGAAGAAATCCCTTTACCTAACAAAAACAAAACACTCTCTGGTTTATAAAACACCTTAATTCTACTGCTCTCTTTTCGCCAATCACCAGCATCTGTTTTTCAGGGGCTGATTTTACTTTTGTGAATTTCTTAGCTTTTCTTCCTTGGTGCAGGAAGTTAAAATGCACATCAGCAGAACTGCTGCATATTAACATCTCAGGACTTTTCTCTTGGAAAGAAACTGAAATTCATACTATATTGGCCAAAGTGAGCAAGTTAAGTGATCTTGGTTTCAATTTCCAAGCCTTTGTTAATACAGAGAATTATGGTTCATATCAGTTATGTAGGACCTTTGGACCCAAGGTCCCACAGATAGATATGATGTGCCGAGATTTTTAAAATACCTTCAAAAATAAAAAAAATACCTTCAGTGACATTTTCATGATGGGAGCTCTTTTTTCTGGTATGGCAGTTACACTTTTTCACTCAAGTGCTTTAGTTTAGACTTGACTTTACAACTTTTCTAACTTTTGGAACCAAGTTTAGTATAGTCTTATTACAGTCCATTCACATAACTTTAGAGATTCGTTTAGAAACCGTAACTGGAGTGGTTGTGCTTCTAGATGTGGCAAATCCAGTGTTAACACACATTTCTGGCTGGCATTTTGGAACTAGCTAGTAACTGGCTTGTGTTATTTAAGCAACCTAACATCACTAAATCCTAGGATTTGGGATTGCTATAAAGATGGAAGTTGTATATGTTTGGCAGGTCACAGTGAATGGCAGTGATAATATCAAAGAACAAATTGTCATCCTTGATCTTGCCTCATGTAGTTTATGTGCCAGACCTTCCCGGGTTTTGTAGTCACCTAGACTTTAAGCTGATGGCATAGTGCTTCCACAGTTCTTCCAGCCGGGGTGTGCAGGTATATGGCTGCAGACATGTTTGCATAAACAGGCAGCGTCTGACTTCTTCACTGTTTCCTGTAGTTCTCCCTCTTCCCACAAAGCTGTCAGCGCAGTGGAAGAGGTTGTACATCTCTGAGAGAGGACAGGTTTCAGTCCGAGTTCAGCTGTGCTTTCGTTAGAGCCAGACAAGCTTTCAAGGTCCTTTAAGTATTTGATGATCAACTGGCTATTCAAGGATAAAACACCAGTCAGTAAGAAGATGGAGTGGATGTCGGAGAAAACAATTCACATTTAATATGTAAATGTACCAATTATGTGATTCAGTTTCAGCTGATATTCAAGTGCTTCCTGAGAGGTTAGTACATTATTACTGAGCTCTCATAGAAAGCTTAATCATAGATGTAATTAGCCTGATCCAAATGAGTAAATTGGACCTTAGAAAGGCTAAGTGATCTTTCTCTGGCTACCCAGCTAGTAGTAATGAAGTCAGGTCTTGAACCCAGGTTCTGCTGACTGAATTGGATGCACTATAGTACAGGCTTTTTAGCACCAAAGGGTGGCCCTCAGACCAGTGCCTGCCAACCAGATGTTACTAGTCTGTGAGGAAATAAGTACAGATACTGACAGGAAGCTTTTATAAACTTTTAAAGCAATTTGTTGGAGTGTTTTTGTTTCTGTTGGGTCTAATTAAAAAAATTGGAGCTTGTATTTTATGTGTCTTTGGTCTTATTTTGTCTAGGAATTCATTTTTACTGTTTTTTTTTTTTTTTAACTGTAGTTCCACAACAGTCTGAAAATAACCCAATCACCAGGTATCTTCCTCAAATACAGAGGGAGAACTTTCTTTCACACCTCCTATTTAGCCTGTCTACTCCTAATAATAATGCCTAAACATTCCAAATTAATACTGCCTCTTTAACCTGCTAATTGTCTTTACAATGTCACAAGAAAACTTGGATCTGTGCATTATCACCATCTAGTGGCTAAACTCAGGCAACACCAACGTCTGCCAAACTCAGGAAAATTGCTCTGGAAAAACAGTTCAGGATTTTGGATTTCCAGAACTGCCTTGAAGAGACAAAGACTCTTGTACCAAGTTTTGGTCAACTGCAAATCAAAGAACTTGGTTATGTAGGAAAAACAAATGAGGACATCTGTACCTGGAATTTTTAAACAAGATTCCAATAGTTATGTGAAAAAAGCATTCAAGATTTTTGGGTAGGCGCAGTGGCTTATGCCTGGAATCCCGTCATTTTGGGAAACTGAGGTGGGAGGATCGCTGAAGATCGGGAGTTCAAGACCAGCCTGGCCAATGTGGTGAAACCCCGTTTCTCCTAAAATTACCAAAAAAAAAAAAAAAAAAAAAAAAGCTGGGTGTGGTGGTCCGTGCCTGTAATCCCAGCTACACGTGAGGCTAAGGCAGAAGCAGCACTTGAACCCAGGAGGCAGAGGTTGCAGTGAGCTGAGATGGCACCACTGCACTCCACCCTAGGCGACAGAGCGAGACTCCGTCTCAAAAAAAACCATGATTTTTCATTGTTCCTAAGAATCTTAATTAAATGAAGACAGAAAGCACCATAGATTCAGGTAACTACAGCACAGACAGCATTAACATTTACAAAAGTATTTCTTAAGAATTAAACCTGTCAACTCTACTTACAAGATGTAGAGCTTTCAGATAAAGATGATTCAAGAACATGCTTTCAAAATAGTAGTTGAGAAACCAAAACATAGCCACGCAGAAATCTGCCAATTAAGTTTTGCTGCCCTTTGAGCAATATGATGTAATGTGATTTACTTTAATTGTAACTTAAGTACAACTTAAATGCAGTTTCTATTTTGCTGTTGTTGTAGGCTGGGCGCGGTGGCTCACGCCTGTAATCCTAACACTTTGGGAGGCCAAGGTGGACAGATCACTTGAGGTCAGGAATTTTGAGACTAGCCTGGCCAACATGGTGAAACCTCGTCTCTACTAAAAATACAAATATTAGCTGGTCGTGATGGCGCATGCCTGTAGTCCCATCTACTTGGGAGGCTAAGGCAGGAGAATCACTTGAATCCAGGAGATGGAGGTTGCAACGAGCCAGGATCGTACCACTGCACTCCAGCCTGGCAAAAGAGTGAGACTGTCTCAAAGAAATGTTGTAGATGTTAAAATTTATGTATTTTTTTGTCTGACTGGGGCTTTACAGTGAGTATATCCTCTCACTAATCTGGCTCAAAATTAGGTAAGTATACCCACAAAGTGTCATCTAATATATTGTTGCAGGTAGAGGAAAACGGACAGTGAAAAAATCTACTAAACTTTATTTGGAACCCTCGATATTGGCGGCTCCTTAAAAATTCGAGAAAAAAAATCAAGTCTTAGGAAGTCTTATCCAGTTTTATGGTCTGTTGTGGTGGCACTTACTGAATTACCTGGGATTATAGTTCCTGTAAGATTTGTTTTAAATAAATTGTTGGCAGGCTATACAAAGAGTGATGTTCCCAAACTACACACATGCTTTTTCCCTGTTCACAAACAGGCTGGCCAGTGTTTCTAGCATCCTCGTCATTATTTACCCTTTATTATCAAAGTAGTTTCCTGCTCTTCAAACCTTCCTTTCAAAATTTTCTCTCCTATTTAAAACAAGTTAGGATTATTTATCCTTTTATTGGACTGATTATTCTAAGGATGAGCTCTTATTTCACTTTTGGAGTAAAAGGCTTTGTGCCCTTTTTAAAGTTGGGTGTCAGCAAGCAGCTGGAATTTTCCTGACTGCCTGGTAAAATTAAAACCAGCCCCACAAACTGGGGTTGGAGTCTGTGAAAAGATTATCATCTATGTGTGGGGTACAGATTAACTATAGTGTGTTAAAGGACCTAGTGGAGGCTTGAACCTTCTTCACACAAACTCCTTCCTTTCAGCCTAAACTTTCCCAAAAACACAAAAAAGTTCTTTAAATGCACTAAATTGACTTAATCTTCAATCATACCTATTTTTTCTGATATGGTTAAAACAGCCCAAATTACCAAATTGAAAGCCAGTAAGACAATGAAAATAATTTCAGTAGTTGAAAACTATTCTAATTTATATAAAGACATTTATCTCTAAAAAGACTGGTTGGGTTCTAGGACCCTTAAAGACTGATTCTTTGTCTAAATAATGTGTTTTATAAGTTCTCATTCTGAATGCAGAAAGAACCCAATCCTTATTTTCTGTATAAACATTTAAAAATTTGTATTTCATGGTAGGTTTTAAATTTCCTATTTCTTTAGGCATCAGAGTTTATTTCAAGAACAGGTTCCATGAGCCTAACTTCGTATCTTCAAAAAAGCAAGTCTATCATAAACATTGTTTAATATTAAATATTATATCCATCAAATATGGATTTGAAACATTTTTAAGTTTAAAGTCAAATATGTGTAGTTTTTAAAAAGTAAAATACAACAGCATTAGTAACTTTTTATTCTCAAAGTGATAAGAGCATTTAACATATACTTTACAGTATAAACAAATTAAGTACTACGCATTTTGCTTATAAAGTGAATTAAAGTATTTTAAGCATTATATAATTCAATTTGTACAAAAAGTAAATTTCCAAATACAAGCTTTGGTTAGAACTGATTATGTACTGTCAAATCCATTTTTCCAAAGTTGTTCAAGGAAAAAAAACTTGACTAGCACAGGTAATTCTTGTACAATCAGAGCTTTTTACTATTTAGGAGGAGGGGAAATATTACTATAATTGCTTTTAATTTTCGAGTCTAGATAAGCCTTTTTTCTTCTCACTTATATGTTGCTGCAGGAGAGCATATCATTTTTGGAAAGCACAAATTATGTAGAAAATCACCTTTTGCTTTATTCTTAAGAAGGTCATCCATTTTAAAAGATCTAAGACTGTTAGCTTCCTTAACTACTGAGATATTTTCTAAAAGTCACACTACTGAAAAGAGCCACTTCGAGAATTAATGTATTCCATTGGGGGTAAATCACTTCCGATTTCCCTCAGGAGGGCAGTAATATTTACTAGCACTAGTGCCCAGAATCAAAGTTTATATCATCTAAAAAGACGCAACATTTTATAGGCTCTACAATGCATGGATTACCTTTATTCATATGAAAGTAATATAAAATGTTACCTAACTTAAATATAAAATATCAGTTTAACCAAATTAACAATCACAAAACTGCAGACATTTTTCTATTAAAGTTTTCCAGTTCACTGAGCAATATTTACTGAAAAATGATTATGAACTTAAATATATCCTCTTTAAAATTTGTTTTATGCTAGACTGTACAATGGTGCTCCCTTTATGAGTTTTAAAAATTCTACTTATATAACTATGTAATTCCAAAATGGAAAAATGAGTGAGCCATCACTAAAATTTACTGGAAACTAATATTCTTTCATGGAAACAACTGATAAACATTTTAAAGTTCTATATTTATTTAAATTTGGCTTTTTAAAATAGATAAGCTTTTCATTTCAATTATTGTTTAATACTTCAAAGCTAGTTTAAACAAAGATAAAACCAAGGAGAACTAGTAAAGCATTCCTTACTTTACATACAGTGCCTCAAGTGCCACATACATGGTAACATATCACAAAAGAATGTATATGGTTTAGCAGATTACAGAGCAAACCTAAAAGTTTATACAAAGCTAAACATTGCCTCCCTTCTGTTCCATTTATTGTCTCTTAATTTGATCTTGGCTCTGTATTATCCTTCTATAATACCACTGTGTGACATTTATCAGTTTTCTAAGTGTTCCAATTACTTATATATACCTTTTTTCTTTTAAACAGCTTTGTAACATTTGAGAACATTCATCCAATCTTTCTCATTAGATACAATATATTCATTTTTCTCACAAAATGCTCACTTTCCTGAGCTATATTAAACACCTTATAACAGGTGTATGTATAACTGAAGACCCTAAAATGTCAAGTTTACATTTTTTTTAATGCATAGAGAATATAACATTTCAGAAAACCTGTTAGTACTTCTTGGATATTATAACATACAGGTTTTGTTTCCTTTAGACTGTAAACTGTTTAATATGTATAACTGGTTATTACTTTTACATCTGAACCACATTAAAAAAAATTCGGAGATATGATTGCTATTACCCTAAGGAAACAAACGGAGTTTTCTGACCAAAACTCATTCATGGGTCTTCCAATAAACAATGTTTACATATACTGACTGAAGATATCAAATTTCTGTGCCACAAAATAGTAGAATTATATCAGAACTACAGCAAATAAAACTTTTATTATAATACATTTGCTTGAAGTTAAGGTGCTATTCATCATGCCCTACATCATGCGGTTTTTACCAAGTGGGCATCATGTCGGGAAACCACACCCTACCAAGATGCTTGGACACTTCCCAGTGAATCTGCTCCAAACTATACTTTTGGTCAGGAATTAGTACTTCTTCCATAATGGATAATTGAGATAGGCGGCCACCACACATCTTCACAAACTCAACAAAGGCACTACATGAGACTTCACATTCCCCTAGTCCAATAGCTGACAAATTTTTGCAACGTTCTGCAATGCGAATTAACTCTTCGTCAAGTGGCCGTAATCCATTTGCACACACTACTAGTTCAACTAGTCTAGGGCATGTCATTCCCACACGGCCAAGCACATCTTTGCTTACTGATCTCCCAAAATACAGATGGGTGGCAGGTATTTCATAGCGAAAGAATGGGTCAA